AAAAGCTGCATAACTCATTATAAAAAGCTGCGTATCTTATTAAAAAAGCTGCAAATCTGATTTAAAAAAGCTGTGTATCTCATTAAAAAAAGCTGCATCGCTCGTTAAAAAAAGCTGCTTATCTAATTTAAAAAAGCGATATATCTCATTAAAAAAAGCTGCATCGCTCATTAAAAAAAGCTGCTTATCTAGTTTAAAAAAGCTATCTCATTAAAAGATATCAATTAAAGATATTTCTAAATTTTATAGACAATCAGCAAATCAAACAAATTTAAAAATAACATAGAGCAAAAGAGAGCAGAAATATGAATAATTGTGATTGATAGTTGCTATCACCATATATTATTTACAAATTGGAATTGTTATAGAGTACATGGATAAAAAATAAAAGCACAGATCAAAAAAAAGTTAGTTTGAATCAACTTTGAAGAATTTAAATATGTATAAACTCAATATACACCAAGTTTTGTTGTTTATGTTTAAAACAAACTAGGAATATCTCCAAATATTTCAACCCTATTTTAGTAAAATTACCCATAAGTTCTCAATAAAATTTTTCAGATATCAACTTTGTTGTTCCAGAATGTAATTTAAAAATAACTTCCTAGAAAACAGTCTATAGCAGAATTTCAGTGGACCTATATAGGCATTTTGAGCGGATCACTGTAGTTTTGCTTATCGATTACTTAGTGGAACATTAGTAGCAGCCGCCAAAAGTGGATAGCCGATGACTACACACTATGTCGGTAGTTTTCATGTCGGATCTATATAGGCATTTTGAGCGGACCGCTGTAGTTTTGCTCAATGGTTACTTAGTTAGACGATGAATAGCCACTATTATTATGTCGGAAAGTTATCAGCTTTCCATTTTCCAGAGGCTGCCACTAACGGCACTAATAAACCAATTGGCAAAACTCCAATGAACCGCTAAAAATGCCAATATAGGTGCCTTGCAAATCCGCAAAAAGAACTTTTATGGGTTTCTATTCAATTAAATATCGCGGACGTTATCTGTAGAAAAAAATATTTTTAGTTAATTAGGTTCTTTAAGAAGTACTAACAATATTTTTTCCCACAGAGCACCTTAAAATAGTATTTAACTAATAAGTTCACTCGGCAGCAAACATTGTTTTAATGGATCAGCAATGGACCAAGATAGGCATTTTTTAGCGGTTCATTGAAGTTTTGCTCATCGGCTACTTAGTGGGCCATAAGTGGCAGCGACTATAAATAGCAAACCGATAACTTTCCGACATTTTAATAGTGGCTTGTCATCGTCTAACTAAGTAACTGATTCGCAAAACTACAGCGGTCCGCTCAAAATGCCTATATAGATATACTGAAATTCGGTTATAGAATGTTTACCATGTCTCCTCCTTTTAGCCAATTAAGCCACTAATAAAACATACTTTTTTTTCTCAGATTATATTGGCTCACATTAGGATTTTTTGTAGATATAAATTAAAAACTGAAAATTTCAAAACATTTGGAGTAAGGGTATTTTTGTTAAATGATTTTAAAGTTTTCGAGTTTTTTAGTTTTTACTTCTCTTAAATGCATTATTTGCAATATTTGCTTGATTATCTTGATTCCATACAAAAAATTTTCATTATCTTGCAACATAGAGTAAAAAAACTTGAAGGCAGCTATAAAAGTTTCCGTTAAGATTTTGAAATACGTTGAATATTGTTTATCTGATTTTTAGCTACCATATTATTTTATGAAGAGGTCTAGGTATGAGAAGCACTATTATAAAGATCATTTTTTTATGTGCAAACCATATGGGGCAGTAAACTTAAACTATACTTTGTAATTATCCACAACTCATTTTTAGGATTCTTTGCTCTCAAAGCCATCATAATTTGTAAAGCTAGTGTAAGCATTTACTGATACAATAATTACAACATAGCATTTTAATATAAAGAATTTTAAAACTAAGTTGGTTTTGTTGGTGTCACAAACAAATATAATCGGTTTTTTATACAAGTGACAAAAAAGCTAACTTTTTTCGTACTATGATTTTTATTTTTTATATATGAAATTAAAATAATTTTTTTTTTATGTTTTATATTTATTTTAACTTTGTTTAAAAATTAAAACAATTTAGTTACTAGTAGCAAACTATCAATGAGTTTTTTTTATATCTATAACTCGTACAAATATTCATCAAAGCTAAACCATTTGGATGTTCCTGTATCATGGTGATTTGCATGTAATTTTTCAGGCTCCAAACTTGAGAAAATGTGTGCACATTCACATGAAGTTGATGGAAAGGTAGCAAGTAAACTTTCAAATTTTTTAAAAAAAGAGAACTCAGTAAATCTGTTCCATAAAAGTCACAATCAAGATTCTATAAAGGACGCATATCATACAACAGCTGTTGAAAGCATGCTAAAAGCTGCTGAAAGCTTCCATTCTAACTCTGGCTTCCAAATCAAAAATGTATTACCGTTGATGGAACCTGGCAAAGCCGAGGATACTTCTCCCTTAATGGAGTAGTAACAACAATAATTGATAAAAAATGTATTGTTCCTCTTTTATGAATGCAATTAAAAGTGACCCTTACAATGATTTGAACATTAAGATCACAAAATTGGAATGTATTGGCCATGTACAAAAGAGAATGGGCTCTTGACTTCGTAAGGTTGTTAAGGCTTATAAAGAAACAAGCACACCACTCCATGGAAAAAAAAAGTTAACTAAATCTGTGGTCAATTCTATCCAGAACTTCGTTAGCTTAACCATAATAAACAATTTTGACAATTTGTATGATATGAAAAAAGCTGTTTGAGCGGTTTTGTTTGATTGTACAGATTTTGACGACAAGGAATGTCGACACCGTATGCTCCCAAAAGACACTGAGACTTGGTACAAATATCATTTAGACAAAATTCATGGTGTAAATACTTATGTTGAGCAAGTAAATCTTTCTGTTACAGTTTTCAACATTTTGAAACCAACTTTTACTGATTTATCTTCAGATGATTTACTAAAAAATTGACTTCAAGGTAAGACTAAAAACGCCAACGAAGCACCCAACTAGATTATTTGGAGACGCCGGCCAAAAAATATTTTTGTGTATTGAAGGGACTTAGAGTCTACGTTTAATTTATCTGTTATTGAATTTAATGAAGGTCCTAATAGAATCCTCTCTTTACTTAATAATTTCAACTAACAGGATATGTTACGTCTATGTAGCTTAATGAAAAGAAGAAAGATACTATAAAGCAGTTTCTTCAAAACTCCACTGACCGTGTCAAAAAGAGAAAAAAAACCAACTAAAAAGGGTTACTTAGACAAAGATGATAAAGAAAAAAACTCAAAATATATGGTTTTATTCTTTTGTTTTATATATTTGTTGTTTCCTCAGAATAAAGTTTTGTCTCGAATACAAATCTTTAAAACATAATAACTTTGGACTCGTTTAAGCGTTTAAACTTTGGACTCGTTTGATCTGTTTTTTTTTTTATTTATTTTTTTTTTATACTTTTTGCATAATTAAATAGGATCAGAATGATAGAAGGATGTTTAAAATAAAATAAGGAAAGTACTTTTTTATAAGACTAATGTTAGCCATTCGTTTATCAATTTTTTTATGTTTTATTTCAAACTTTTTATATACTGCAAGTAATAAAAAATGCTTCTCTCATCCGGATTAATATGTCTTAATGAGTATATACACCAGTTTTTAGTTTGATATGATAAATATTTTGATTGCTAGCTTGTCACAAAAATTGTTAGTTTTCTCATTAATTTTTTAAATAATTGGGTAAACGAGACATTTTTTTTTTAAATTAATTTCTGTAAATTTATAGAGCCACATTTTTGGCAAAAAAATTAAATCAAAACCTTTTTGCTATCAAAAGTTTTTTACGGAGGACCACTTTAAGTTTTCGTTAATTCCTGGATTATCATTCATTACTGACTTTTCATGGAAACCATATGCACAATCGATCACAAAGTTAGCACATGCTAAGGCCGCTTCTCTTTATCGTATTTACCATTAACCAAATTTCTTTCTCTGCTTCTACAAATCTTTTATTCGTCCCTGTATGGAATACTGTTGTCATTTGTGGGTCAGTTTTTGTAACATTGCTCTTTCTCTTTAAGACAAGGTCCAAAAACGCAATGTAAACGTATTTGGACCTTCTCTATCTGTCAATCTTGAGTCTATGAGACCACGATCGTTTATGATCGTCTAGTTTTACTCTCCGCAATTCAATACTTTAGAATTCTTCTCATCTCTATGTTACACATATAACTTATATATATATATATATATATATATATATATATATATATATATATATATATATATATATATATATATATATATATATATATATATATATATATATATATATATATATATATATATATATATACATGTATACATATATATATATATATATATATATATATATATATATATATATATATATATATATATATATATATATATATATATATATATATATATATATATATATATGTATATATATATATATGTATATGAATGTATACATGTATATATATACATATAAATGTATATATATATATATATATATATATATATATATATATATATATATATATATACCCAGCCAACATTGACATACGGGTACCGTACGGGGCCCATACGGGTCGTCAACTGGGTCCTGTATGGGAAGACCAACGGTATCCCGCCGGATCATGACCGCGGTTTCCATATGGAACCCATATGGGTTAGCCCGCCGGGAATCCCGTATGGGTCCCAGTCAAATCCTGTACTTTAAAACCGTAAGGGACCCGTTTGGGTTTGCAAATGGGACCCATATGGGTATGCCCGCCGGGGTATGCCCGCCGGGTATCCCGTGAGGGTCCCACGAAGTTTACCCATTGCAAATCTTGCAAAACTACGTTTAAATGTTTAAAATTTACAGAAAAAGCAAATTTATATATAAATTGATTGGTTTATTTCAAAAAAAAATAGTAATTAAAATTACACTGTCAAAATTAAGCAAACTTTTGAACGATTCTTTAATCATGTATCAAATGCTTTCACGTTTATCTCGGGAATCGGAAGCTTTTCCATTGTTGTTAAAACGACTTCTTTGAAAACCTCTTTACACAATATCTCGTTTCAATATGAACTGTAAAAAATTAAGTTTAACTGTTAGTTTTAAATTTTATTGGTAACACATACATTAATTTTAATATGTTATAAAACTCTTACAATTTCTCCCAACTCTCTTCAGATAAAAAATGTAATTTTCACCATCAAAGGTACTTGTAATAGATAAGCACATGCTTATGATTCATATAATAAATTGATAACATTCCTTTAGTTACTGATAAATAAATTATATAAAATTATTAAACAAATACATTTTTTTATTTATATTGTATATAATTTGATATATATTGTATATACCTTATATACAGTGCCATGGCTACTAGATACAAGCCCCCCATTCCAAAAAAAAACCTGTCATAAGGGCCCCAAAATTCCTAAAAACTAAATAAAAATCTAAATAAAAATCCTAAAAAAAAAAAAAAAAATCCTTACATTTGTAAAAGGGCCCCTAAATTTGCAAATGAGCCCCCTAGACAAACATTTTTTAATTGACCTGAAAAAGTTTTGTATTTGAAAGAGGGACATCTATCAAGTACCTAAAATTTAACTGTATTATTTTCTATGTGCTAATGAATGGACATTGTACACTAGTTGATCCTTATGACAAAGTTCACATATAAAAATAAGTAGCTGAAAAGCAAAATTAACATATTTTTTCAACAAAATGAAACATTATGAAAGTAGAACTACAACTGAAAAATCTAAAAAATTGAATACATTTTTGGCTTAACCATTCCCTTTAAACAACTGGTCAAGTGTTTACTATAAATAGTCTAAGCTTAGTTGTTTTCCATTTTTTAATATCTAATTTAGACCTTGATTTTCTATAAAAATTTCTTGGAATGTAATGACGTATCTGGAACAATCCGCCAGATAAAGTATTGACTGTAATCTGAGACAATTTACAACATTTGGGCAGTTTAACCATAAGTTGAAAAATCTTCGCATTACCACTAAGCATACTTGATGCATTAAGTCTAAAGGAAACTTTGTCACCATGTCAAAACTTAATTCAATTTAACACACCACTAAGATGTTCAGAATGCTTTTAATGACAAAAAATCTGAATCAGTGCTTAAAATTAGTGAAATATGTAGGAGAATTGTCTTGCCACACCACTCTCCTTTCTAAGCACAACATTCATATCAGTTATAACCATTGTGTCCTTTAATACACTTTACAAATGCTCTAGCTGGTGCATCACATATGATAACAGCAAGATTGATTTTAAACTCAATATTTTCATAGATAAAACCATATTTTGCAAGAACTTTGAAATCTACCAAAAAATTATGTAGACAATTAAGGTGACCTGCTATTCTCATTTACTGAGTTTTTTTACTCTTTTTTCACAAACCGTACTTTTTTCAAATCCTGTACTCTGAAAGTACTCATTTTTATAATTTTGTACTCATTTGTATTTCTAAAACATTTTTTTTTATATTATTTCCTTTCAATTTTATTAATTAAATATTTAAAATTATTTTGACAGTGATTTGAATTTCATGCGCACATATTGCTAGCCGTTTCCAGCACGTCAGAGGACAGGGCAAACACCAGATACAAGTTTGACAGTGATTTAAATTTTGAACGCACATATGGCTGCCATTTTCAACACAATTGAGAGGCCGTATTATGAACCTGGAGAGATAGATAGATACTACAGACCTCTTTTTCTAACAATGTCAAAATTACATTTGTGAAAAGAGATGGATCCAACATTTGCATATGTAATCCCCAGGCTGATCTTTGATGTGCAGTATGTACGCCATGCTTGACAGTCTTGAGGCATGCGTAGTATGTACAGCAAAGTTTTTTATCCATTTATTTAATTAAATAAAAGGATAACAAAAACCTTACTGTACATACTACGCATGCGCTTATGGTTAATTAACCATAAAATCAAAAATTACAAACTTAATTATAATTTACAAATTTATGTTCGGTGTCACTCATATTAAAAACAAGTCAATGGAGCGACACCTTCATAAAATAAACAAATAAAATAAAAAATAATAAGAAAGAAAGAAAACTACATTAATACAAGTAATAAAAAAAGAAGTATAAGGAACAATACTATTTAAAAAGTTGGAATTAACACAAAAATATAAAAGAGTAACGCTAAGAAAAATGAAAAAAAAAAGAGAAAATGAACGGATGAAATAAGATGAGTGAGAAAATATGTAAGAGAAAACAAAAACTTAATCACATAAGTCCAGTAGGATAAAGTGACAGAAAAAATTTTTTGCAGAAAAATATAAAAAAACAAATTAAAGGCAAATTTAAATAAAAAAATATATATATACACTACTATATACAATATTAAAGGCTATATTAAAGCCTATAAACTGACCGCTTTGGAAGATTCCAATCCCGGAAAAAAAAAAAAATTTTAAAGAAGTTAAAAATTTTTATAAAATTTGCTATGAATATATCGAAGAATGGATAATGAACTTTAGAGCATTGAATTGTTTTAAATGGACCCTTATAAATAGAAAAATTTAATGGAAAAAAGTTTCTTCAGCAGTCGAATTTGTAATAAAGGAAGTAAAAGATATTGTTATTAATGACAATTTTTTTTTTGAAGAAATCGGAAGAGTAAATTTATTTTTAAATGAAGAAAAATTAAAGAAATGGGACAATGAGAAAATAGAACTTGAAAAAAGATTTTTACTTGAAAAAAGCATTTTAGAGTAGAACATATTCCACATGAAAATTTAAAAGTTTTAACAGAAATTTCTTTATGTTGTCCAGGCACTAATGCTGCTGTTGAAAAGGTATTTTCACTAAGGAATGATTATTGGAGCAGTGAGAAGTTGCAACTTTCTGTAAAAACATTATATGCCGTCTTAACAGTCAAATTTAATATGAAACTTAATATGTTTGGATGCAGCTACATTATTAGACGAACATCCTCATCTAGCAAAAAAAATCCACTCTGACGAAAAATATGTTTTAAAAAAAAAATAAAGTCTTTTATCGTTTTATCTACCTTTTTTTTTTACCTATGAAATACTTGCAAAGTGTACTCTTTTTGAACAAAAGATAGTTGGTCCCCTTAAGATAATTAAAAATGGAATTAGATTTTTGGGCACCACTTTTTAAACAAATTTTTAAAAACATAATTTGGGTCCCCTAATATTGTAAGTCCTATGACTAGGCTCTGATGGCAACATTTATAAATAGCAACAACTTTTGGCAAATTTTCTTTAAAATTTACATGTATGTTTGAATTTTGTCACTATTTTAGATTTTCATTGAATAAATTCTTATATAAAAATATATTTTATATAAAATATTTATGGAGTATTATTCTCTTTTACTATCAGCTATCAAGACGATTAAACTGACTTGATCAGCTTCAGCATTAATCTGAAGCTAATGAGTTTATAGCTGAAGCTGAAATATCAGCTGCAACCTCAACTTTATAGACAACATAGTCAATGTGATGTATATACATTATAATAATAAATGTGTTTTTTTTTATACTCAAATACTTATTTTTTTATTTTATGATACATTTAAAATTTTTTTTTTAAACACATGTTTTTTTATAATATTTAATACTTAGGAAATACTGACTTTTGCCGAATATTCTTTAGATAAAAATAATATTTACTTACATTACTCTAATCGAGGTTATAAACAATGGTAATATTTACTCAAGTTATTATATTTGTCCCCCAAAGTTAATGTAGCTCTATTATACATAAGTCTCTCACTAATTCTAATAATAAAAAGTTATTGCCATTATTACTATAACTATATTTACTAACCTGTTATTATTAATATTTTTCAAAAACACATTCTGGTTGTTGAAGTCACTTTTACTCATATCAATATGCAAATATTGTCAACAGTCAGAGTGCACCATGCAGAAATATTCTTTAACATGCTGCAAAATATAAGATATACATAAGATACATATCATATAAGACCTATTGCCTGGAACATAATATTTTATATTGTTTAACTTACTGTAACTCAATTATAATAAATAAGCATATGGCTATAATCTATATAATAACTAACATCTTTTTTTAGTTATTGTTATTTATGTAAAAGTTATTAAGTTAAATTAAAGTTTTATAACTAAAGTTTGAATGCAAAAGTTTATATCAATAAAAAATTTTATCAGTATTATAAACATAATTATTATATTACAAGTATTTACAAGTATAGGTATTGTAAGTATAAGTTATTATTATGTATATTATGAAATTATTGTTTATATTGCAAGTGTACAATTTTAAATCAAAATCAAAAAATATCAATGATTAAAAAATGAGGTTGATGCATAACAATAAAGCCATATTTTTGCATTTAAACATGTAATTATATCTTTATTTATATCTGACGGTGGGTAAACTTCGTTAACATCAGTCATTTTGCTTGCATAAAATATAGAAAAATCAATGGAAAAGAGTGGATCTGTAAAAACGATTTAAAAGCTTATAATTCCCTAAATATAACCTATCCATTACATTCTATTCGTCTGTTTGCTCTTTTTAAATGTTTCTGACTAAACTAATATTTTGATTAAACTCAAACCATTTATTATCTAATTATATCACTAGCTGCTAGTTTGCACTGTTTGCATTTTTAAAATCATTTTAAAAATGATCAAAATATAAAGTTTGTTTCTGCTAGTGACTAGCAGAAACAAAACTTTATATTTTGATCATTTTAAAAATGCAAACAGTGTCTCAATGGAACATTTACTACATGTTTAATAGTTTCTGGAACATATGTTCAACAAATATGTTGAACTTTGTAAATGCATTTAAAAAATAGTATACATGTATATATATGTATATATAAAAATTATTTTATAATGATAATAAATGAAATTTTAAAACAACGTCTTTTTAACTGAGTTTTACTGTGACAAAACACATCAAAAAAAAACTCTTTTTAATTACAATGTAAATATAATGTATTCAAAAAATGTAATGCATAAAAGTTAAATTTTTAATCTTATTTCACGCACAATACGAATTAAAAATGGCAACCATCGAGTAAGTTTTGTTATGATTTTTTTTAAACCTTTTGGGAACCTTATGGGAAACCCGTCAAATTCCCCAGGTTATTCGGCCCTGATAAAAACCAGATAAAACCCTGACGAGCAAATATGCTTGATTTTATTACCATATGGGACCCGTCTGGAAACCAAAACACTTACCCGTCAAAATCCCGTTCCCGTAAGCCCAGTAATACGGTACCCGTCTGTCAATATTGGCTGGGTATATATATAAATATATATATATATATATATATATATATATATATATATATATATATATATATATATATATATATATATATATATATATATATATATATATATATATATATATATATATATATATATATATATGCATATATACATATATATGTGTGTGTGTGTGTATATATATATATATATATATATATATATATATATATATATATATATATATATATATATATATATATATATATATATATATATATATATATATATACACATAATGTAATATAATAATGCAGCCTATAACGGGTGTTATAGTCTACTTTAAGAAGTTATAGTCTACATTAACGGACTGCATTAACAAACATTAAAACGCATCTTTATCTATATAAACAGCTGATTTTTTTATTTTTTATATACACTTTGTATAAAAGTTGAATAAAAGTTAAAAATAAGCCCTTTTGATAATCGAAAAATTAAAATGCTGTTTTTTATTTTATTACATGTTTTTGTCTGTATTCAGCATGTTTCGGCAAGATGGGTTCCACAAATGGAGAGTATGAATTATGTTTTGTTTTATTCAGTTTTCGGTGTTATTTACATCGATATATTTTTATTATTGTTCTATCTTGATTACATTTATTTATGCGTTTTTTATAATATCTCTTTCAAATCATAGTTTATGATAAATAATTTGTTTCATTTTTACTTTCTTTTATTTTCTCTAATATTATAACGAGTTAATTAAATAAAAACAACAATAACAAATAGTACTTAATTTATATATTTATACACATTTAAAACTTATCTTTTTTTATTTCAAAAATTCTCAGATAGCAAGCTGTTTGAAGGTGATATACAATTGAATCCGTCAGAAAAACTAATTGTAAAAAATACTTATGGAAGCTTAAAAAGAGGACGTTGGCCAAATAATACAGTTCCCTACGATCTTAGCAGAATAAGTATTCTTATTTTATTATTAATATATATATATACATATATATATATATATATATATATATATATATATATATATATATATATATATATATATATATATATATATATATATATATATATATATATATATATATATACCTTTTTTTTTTTTTTTTTTTTGAAATATGAGTATGTATATGTTCATGCATATGTGCAAGTTTTAGAACTTTCAATTTATTAAAAAAAAAAGTAATAATATTTCTCAAAACACGATGTATGACAAATAAATTTATAAGCTTGATTTGACAATTTTTACTAAAATAGGTTTAACTTATCATGAAGAGAGTTGAATTTTTTTTTGTATGCTAAAGATTTTAGAAACCATCATTACATACTCAATGCCATAGAAGAATACCACAAGCATACTTGTTTAAAGTTTGTTCCAAAAACTACCGAATTGACCTATATTAGCTTTTATTCTGGAGACGGGTAAATTTTTAATTTATTTTTAAAGAAAACTTTTAAATTTAACTTTTAAACATGTTGACTTAATTCTGATTATATTTGGATTTTACCTTGTTTAATATTTATTTTGCAGAGCTTTTTGTCAATAACTTTTCTTTAAAACGCTAAATTTTTTGTGTGTATTTATTTAGATGCTCTTCGCCTGTTGGGTACTGGTACCGCAGAATTAATAATATATCATTAAGTCTTGGCTGCTTTCAAATAGGTACCATCATGCACGAAATAGGGCATAGCATAGGTATACACTTTACTATACACAAGTATTTAATAGTTTTTTCCAATAATTTTATAATTTTTCTTACAAGTTATAGACCATAAAATAATAGTTTGAAATAAGTTCATTAAGTTTTTTAATCTTTCAAAAACTTAATGGACTGCGATCTTTACTTTCCTTGTGATTAATCCATAGATAGCATCTACTAAGTGAATTCCTTGTATTTTCGATTTGTCCAAGTCTTCACATTTTTATGAAATAGAAAGATTTATATACCAAAATTATTTTATGCAAATACCCTATTATGATTGTCATTAAATATTATGTCTGTAATATCAATGTTATAATTATATGTTCTATATTTTATGTTTCTTTGTGTACATTCTAAAATTATACAATATTTTACAAATGAATCTTTGGCAGATTTTTCATTCACTTCTCTCACAACTCTCACTGCTCACCATAGCTAATGCAAGATTGCATTAGCTATGGTGATAATAATGCAAGATAGGATAATAATGCAAGATAGGAAAACGAATTTTTTTTATTTAATAAAAATCATTCGTTTAATTTAATTTCTTAGGCACAATTAAAAAGTTATATGCATTTTAACGTATGGGGTTATTAACTTAACAATCAAGCGCAATTAAATTATAAAAAATAAATAAAAAATTCAGAGGGTGATGAGTTTTTTTTTAGTATAAAAAAACTTTATGGCTGAAGAAACATTAAATAATGTTAAATAAGTCATGATGTAATATATTACTTTCAAGTTTTAAGTAGTATATTACAACTCTATCCTATCGTAACGGTTGAAAACTTATTACAAGTGTAAAACCGCGAATTATTTCAAGCTTAAAATCTGCTGTTTTTCTGGTCTTTAAACTACATACGACTACATAAATAAAAATATGAAGATGCTTTACTATATATGTATATATATATATATATATATATATATATATATATATATATATATATATATATATATATATATATATATATATATATATATATATATATATATATATATATATATATATATATATATATGTATATATATATATGTATATGTATATATGTATATATATATATGTATATATATATATATATATATATATATATATATATATATATATATATATATATATATATATATATATATATATATATATTAGGGTGCGTGACAAATTTTATCAAATTCTTGTTTACAAAGATTAATTTGATCCAAAATTCAATTTTAAAATTAATTTCTAATATAGGGACCTCTTATAGGAGGGTTAGCGGTGGGCTGCGGAGAATTTGTTTCATTCACACCCTCTGCTCCATCTATTTTACTTATTTTTACAAAATATTTATGTACCATCTGCCTTGAAGTTTTATTTTTACATATAGTTTTATTAGATTTTCATATAGGCGCTGCAAAATAAGCGTTTTAATGAAACAATTTTATTTTGTTGAATATCATGTAGCTGGGTTAGTTAAGGTAAAATAATAAATTTTCTGTTAAAAAAAATATATAATAATGTTGTTAAGGTCAACAATGATAAACTAGTTAATAATCAAGAAAAATTTCCTTCAAAAACAGTTTGTAAAACTATAACTCATCAAACTTTTCTTCGTGTTTTTAGTAAAAAATTGAACAAATTTTCTTCAAACTATGATATGTCAGCACCATTTTTTTTGCCACTCTCCGTAGTTTGTACTTTTTCGAACTCCTTGATTTGATCCCTACTATGCTGTAAGATTAACATTAAATCTTGCCTGTCCTCTTCATTGTGAGCAGAATTAACAAACTTTGACACAAGCTTAATTGTACGTTTAAAGCAGTCGTTGACGACATATATTCAGCAAACAAAATTAATGAAAGTTTCAAATTGGTCAATAAAGCCCCAAAAAGATAAAGGACAGTTTAGCCAAGGTTTATCATCGTCATTATTCAAATTTAACAGACTGAAAATAAACCATGAGTTCCTACCAACCAATTGTGACAAGCTAGGTGGTTTTTAGGTGGGTGAAATCTCAATCTTACATAAGGATTGGATTTTCAGACTTCTCATTGTGAGTAGGAACAGGTTGCGAGAAAAAAACTTTTGCAAACTTTTCTTTTTATCATTTTCGAGTTCTTTATCTGCGAGACATAATGGACTCAAGGTTTGATCCAAATACCACGTATGTCTCTCCATTGATTTCAATACTTCTTCAATTCCCTCTAGTACATCATTAGCTCATGAATCATAAGATTCAGGCCAACGTTTATACTGGACCAACTGCCAGTACGCATTTTAATCTTAGAGAAAACTAAAGAGGAGCGCACAAACCACACAATATAAAATATAGAAAAAAATTCTGCCATTTTACTGATTTAATTTAGTAAACAAGCAGTCAATTGGTAGAGCAACTGATTACTTAAAACTTGAATTTTAAGATAATATATAGACTTTGCCATAAAACGAGAATGAGAAACTGATCCGGGAGCAAACATTAAAGCTTACATCTGGACATAATTCATAATGGTGACCTACATGGTGAGTGTGAGTTCTAAAAGTTTTTATAATCACCTCTTGTAAATACTAAATTGGCAATTGCATATTTGCAAAATTGAACAATTTTTTCAAACTGTTTTTCTAAATACGTTCCTTTAACTGCAGCCTTGTCAAACTTCTTGAACTTTGATTTACCCATAGTTTCCTTTGTTGCATTCTAACTAGCTTGGAAAATTTTGAACATCAGATTTTCAGGAGCATAAGTTTTACCAATGTGAACTTTTTAGTAAAAATGTTTACAGTGAAGTTCGTAAACATGTCTTTGACATGCAAGCTGTAATATAAATGAACCCTGTGTTTTACAAAATCTAATGTTTGTGCCGGAATATTTTTTTGTATTAATTGGAGTTGTGTCAAAGCACAAACCCTTTATATAGGTTCTTAGCTTATATTCATCAAAAATGTTTATTAAAGTATCATGATGAGATTTTTCAGTACCGTTTTCTATAGGCGGAATGCCTAGAAGTCTTAACTCACAATCAATATCTTTTTTGTTTTATACCGTTAGTAATACCCTGCAAGATTTTTCCATCAAAAAGTGCAATTATTGTAAATTTACTTTGACTTGCAGCTTTTATTATATCTTCTCAATATTTAGCTGCACTTGTATTTAGTGCTTTCTTTTTTGCACTTCTGATAGTAGATTCAGAAAGCGAGAAATTTGTCAAACTGCCCCCAGAAGTAACTATTTTGTCATAGAGCAAGTGCATCATATTTCTAGATGAAATTTTATTAAAAACACCTGTAATTGCATCTTCTTTTGCAAATTTTTAGGTATTACTATTGAAGCACTAGTACCTGATTTAATTTCGCCTGCTGAATAGTCGGAATCTTGACAAGAAGAGACCTCACTTTGTTCTGATGATAAAAACTCAATTTTCTTAGTTTGATTCTCGTATTACTCAATAAATATTAAATATCGCAATCTTCTTTCTTCTATCTCTTTCAGCTTTCGGCAATATGCTAAATCCTTTGCACCAAGAGTCATTTTACGTTTTCTTCATTTGATCATTTAAAAATTGCTTATCTAAATCTAGGTTGTTTCCATGTTACTTCTTCAAAATGGAGCAAATATCAGGTTTTCCAATCCAAAAAACTTTCTTAGCATTTTTTTTTAAAGATGTTTCTAGCTAGTTTTGCGGCGTTGCCTTATTTTTATTTACTTTTTTATCAACGTTGCCCATTTTTCAACTAGATCATTTGTTAGTTTCCTAGAACATACAATATTTATTTAACTTTTTTAATTGCTTTAAAACTTTTTAAAGCATGTCAGAGGCAGAGTAAAAATTATTTATTGCGAAAAAGATGCAGTTCTGACGACATATTGCTAGTTTAGAGCATGCTGACATCATTTTATGCGAACAAAATATTCTTAGCTTAAGTAGAAGTATGGCACGTATTCGTTTTTTAATCTTTTCTAACTTTTTTAGAATAAATAGTTCGAAAAAGAAAGATTGTTTTTGTTTGTGACACATGTGAGTTAAATTTGATCGCAAGCGTCATTCTATTTAAATGTACTTAAAAATTATACTATTTAAATATACTTAAAAAAAAGTTAGTGTATTTTTAGCTATTTTGCTTGACCTAAATTAGTATATATTTTTTTAATTGTAGACTTCCCAACCAATTTCAAATTAATATTTAGGCCTTTAAGAGTTCATAGAAAAAAAATTGGTGTTTTATGTCAATGTTTAAGGTCCCCACTTTTTGGTTAAAAAAATTGTGGTTTCGGGCACAAAGAGTTGCTAACCTGGCTTGTTGTTTTTAGAGTTGCTAACCTGGCTATGGTCTAGAAATTTGTTTTTTTATGTACTGATTTAGGAAAGTATTTACTTTTATGGATTGAACAATGTCTTCCACCCGCAACTATAATTACAAAAATTTTATAAAAATTTTAAAAATAATAGTTTTTTCATATAAAAATTATTATTTTACATTTTATTGCATAATAACTATAGTTTTTTAACTAAAAGTGAAAAAGGTGCATTTTTACATGTTTATTAATGACAATTTTTTTCGGCAATATGATTTTTATAAAACGATTATTATTTTCGAATTTTTTATAAAATTTCGCTTCTTTTGAGTACCAGGTTAACTTACTTTTGAAAAACTTTTTTTCTCCAAAATATTAGGGTACCGGTAATTTTCCCAATAAAGTTGCGCCCTTTAAATCTATCACAATCATTCTCATATTTGATAGTATCAATATTAATAACTATTAGCAATGTGTACAGCCTGTAACAAGAAAAAAAAATTTATGACCCACCCTAATATAAATATATATATATATATATATATATATATATATATATATATATATATATATATATATATATATATATATATATATATATATATATATATATATATATATATATATATATATTCTGCAATTAAGATAACTTCAAAATTTTCATTTTGGATTGCTTTGAAGATCGCGGGGTAAAGAGATGGCAATAGTTCTTAAAAAATATATTGGCAAGGGTTATAAAATGTTTTTAATGTATCTTCAACTGGAGGATCTTCCCAATTAACATAGCCAGCAATGTAAACCAAAGACATTTTAATTTCTTTAGACAAATTGCTTTCAATAACTGGAAGATTATGAAATAGATTGAACAAAATATCATCTTGCAATACATAATTTCATTTGTCACACAAATGGCTTGATGATACTTCTAAATCATTTGCAGTGATACTAATATTTAGAGTGTTTTTTTTTTAATGTCGACTTTTTGTAAAATTTGCTGAACATTTATAAATAGGTACCACCTGATCCTTGCCGAAGTTTTCCAAATGCTTTCTCAATTGGGTCACTAGTGAAATGTCCAAGGCAAACATACTTATGATTGTTTTTCAGGAGCCATATGTTTTTCAGGAGCCATTTTTTCGACCATATCAGCCAAATTTAAAACAAAGTTCAATCGTTTATCATTGTTTGATGAAAAAACAGCACGATATTCATCTCTAGTACAAATATCTTCATTTAGTCCTTTAACATTAACAATTTTAAAAAATTTCATAAAAATAGATAAAAACACTGTGGTGTCTTCGACATTTTTTATGGATGGATGAGTTATTATAGCAACTACAGTCTCATCACAAAATACTCTCAAATAAGTTGACACATTTTTACGTTCAATTGGTTTAGGAAAAACTGCTGTTTCTTTAAGTTTAGACAGTTTCTGAATAGCATCTTTTTTAAACAGAAAAAGTTTTTTAAGATCTGCATATATTGCAGTTCTTGAAATACCTTTGTAAAACATAGTTTTGGGGATTTTTCTGTGAGCCAATTGTTGCGAATAAATTTTATTAAATGAACAAAGCCATACAGAAGTAAAATGTTATCATTAGTGCATTAAGTATTACGGAGATTGAACATTCCAAAAAACTTTTTATTTATTTTGTTATTGTTGCAAAGAATAGCAACAACAGAACCACCACACTTTTTTTCACTTCAATTGTTTGCACTGTTTAATCGTATTGAAAATTAGCATTTAAACTGTTTTTGCCAACTCATTTGGGGAATTTACTGATTTACCAAAAATGTTACCTCCTTGATATGTTAACTGCGGTTTAACATAAATTTCATCAATTAGTAGAATAACCTGTCTTTGAGATATAGATCAATAAATATAGATATAGATAAAGTTATTTTGAAAATATAACTTTAAAAAATCAATATCTCTAACATTTCTAACCTTAGATGTCAACCTTTTCATCAAAGATATACTTGGTAGTTTGTAGTCATCACTTAATCGAGAGTAAAGAGTTCTTGACAATGAAAAGTACTCAAATGCTCTAGTAACCATATCAGGAGAATATTTTTTTTCACCAATAAACATTAATGAGTTCATACTTAACATCTATTCAATAATAATATTTTTCTTATGATCGATTGGTAAAGAACTCAGATATTGTATTGCAGCATGGAGACGGCTAATACAGTCAATAATATTCATATGATTGTAAAAAAAAAGTTTTATGGTGCACTTAACACCAGAGTGATTGCTATCAAAGGATAAATCATTTTTTTATTTTCAAAATAAACACCCAAGTTGTCCAATGTTTCAACAGATTGAAGATGTAAACAGTTTTCATTGATACTTGATATTATTGAGTAGGAACAAGTTTTAGACATTATTTTATTACACAAATCTTCGAAAGTAGAAATATTATCAGATTTCACAATAGCCTCCATTTCATCAGGAAAAGTACTTCATAAAGATAGCAATGATTTAGTAGTTGGTCTTGGTGGTGCAAGAGGAGTCGGAATTTGACTTGGATTTACACAAGAAAATACAGTTGGTGGATGTTTTGGTCTAAACTTCGCGTAAACTAAAACTTTTTTATAGTCTTTCGGCCAATAATCTTCACAAATAAAAGTATTTGGGCTATCTGGAATATTATCTCGAAGTATAGCACTTTGGCATGCTGGTCTTCTCCATAAGCTTTCTTCTTACTGTGTATCTGGAAACATCTTTAAGATTATTGAATCCTTTCTTTCCAATCGTAGTATAAAAGTTGTCCTTGATGGACAGCACTCTTCTTCTTATTCTGTAACCTCAGGGGTTCCCCAAGGTTCAATCCTTGGCCCTATACTCTTTTTAATTTACATTAACGATCTTCCAGATATTCTCACATCTAAGGTGGCATTGTTCACTGATGATACTACCATTTATTCTTGTCACGATAAGAAGCCAACTCCCTCTGATTGCTTGCAGGGGGCATCTGAGCTTAAAAAGGATCTCATTTCTGCTATAGCATGGGGCTCACAGTGGCTGGTGAACTTAAATTCAGATAAAACTCAATTTTTTTTCAGCCAATCGTTATCGCAATAATTTAGACCTTCCTATATTTATGAACGGTAGTGTGCTCGATGAGCCTCCTACCCTTCATCTTCTAGGATTAACTCTTACTTCTGATCTTTTTTAGAAACCTTATATCGAATCCGTTGCAAAATTAGCATCTGCTAAAGTTGCTTCTCTTTATGGAGCTCGTCATTTTCTTACTCTGGATTCTATTCTCTATCTCTATAAATCTCAAATCCGTCCTTGTATGGAATACTGTTGCCATATCTGGGGCGGATCTTCAAATGATGCCCTTTCTCTTTTAAACAAGGTGCAAAAATGCATTGTAAACATAGTTAGACCTGCTCTTGCAGCCAACCTTCAACCTCTGTCACATCGTCGTAATGTTGCTTCTCTTTCTCTTTTCTACAAATACTATAATGGGCGCTGCTCTAAAGAGCTAGCGTCTCTTGTGCCATCTACTAAAATTTATTCTCATGTTACTCGTCATTCAATTAAATCTCGCCCTTTTTCTGATACTGTTCCTAAGTGCTCCAAAAACTCTTTTTTGTCTGGTTTTCTTCCTCGAACATCAGTTCTTTGGAATTCACTTGTTTCATCTTGCTTTCCCAATTCATATAATTTTGCAATCTTTTAAGTCGTCTGTCAATCGTTATCTTGCTCTAAAATCTTCATCTTTTCTCTTCCAGTAACTTCCAACACTAATTAGTGGTTGCTTGCAGCCTTGTTGGAAGCGAAGATGTTTAAAAAAAAACAAAAACTTATCTATCTTTTTCGTTCATCTGCATTTTTTTTATTTGGAAGAGGAAAAATTTTTACAGACTTTGTAACATTGTAGTTACCTCTGTATCCAGTGACACAACACTTAAAAACCACATTCGGCGGAGGTGTATTTGATTCTCGTGTGATTAAAACGATGATTTATTTTAGACGCTTTTTAATAAGAAATGCCACCCTCCCCTAACCCGTGAATCAAATACACCTCCGCCCCATATTCTTCAAATTTAATAATTTAGCTCTAAAAAGAAAGAAAATTTAATACAAATAAAATTAAAACGTATCGCATATTAAAATAAAAACCACGTTCTTTTTTTAAAACGCGCCATATTACTGGAAATTTAGAAAATTAAAACTCGCCTAAAGTTTTTTTTTAGCCGTATGTTTACTAGGCCTGCCACTACAGTAGGCCATGATATATATATATATATATATATATATATATATATATATATATATATATATATATATATATATATATATATATATATATATATATATATATATATATATATATTAACTCAATAAACAACAATTTTAAACAAATATAAAAATAAGGATTTAATTTACATTTAAATTATTCACTTTTTCCCACATTTATAATTTTAATTTCACTTTTTAAAAACGAAAAATTGTAATAACACTTTGGACTGGAATTTTAGAGTTTATTTGAGAAAAGGGTCTTTTAAAAATAGCTAAAAAATTTTATTGTTTATTTAAGTTTATTTGAGAGAAAAAAAAAATCTTTATTTGTAATATTAATGTTAGGACTTTTTCACGAGCAAAGCAGAACAGATCGAGACGATTTTGTTGAAATAAACTGGAAGAACGTTCCGTTAAGTAAGTACCTTTTATTATATGAAAAAATTATAAAAATTTAACATTGGTAAATTTGTATTCAACTACAGATATGTTTTTACAATTTTTGATTTATTGGTGACGGGCTGTGTAAAAGTGCGATTAGAACTTCAACTATTCCCATGTTCGCTATCATATAAAGTGTAATATACTATCAAAACCAGATTTTCAATAATCTTTCAAATAAACTTGTAGTTGTGTATGTTATAAATAATTTGAATTTGAGTTTTAAATCTAATGATGCAAATTTTAATCTTTAATACCCTTATACAGTACGCAACACGCAACACAGCGCACCTCCCACGAAACCAAAGGCAACACTATAATTTGGTGTAGATTAACTTTTAGAAATGGTTTTAGCGTTTGTTCTAGCTATACTAACTAGTGCTTACCTTGTGTTTTTTACGTAGACTATCCTCTTCTTATCTCATTACACGGTCAAACTACTTAATCGTGCAGTTCAAATAAATGCTGGTTTTGGCTTACAGAATTAACTGACTAGCATTTAGTTGGTATGGTTTCCAACAATAAGAATTGAACAAAAAAACTTTAAGGAGGTACTTAACGTTGAAAAAAAAGTTCAATTTCTTTAAAGCTTTCCGATTTTTTTGGGAACTTTTAGAAAATATGCTTATTACTTACCCAATGTTGTCTTAATGATTTATATATCTTGAAAAATAAATTTTTATTAAAAAAAAACTATATTATTTGTAATGTAATTTCCTGAGAGCTAAAGTTTTGAAATGATGGAGAAAAAATTTTTTTTTTCTAAACTACAAGTAATTAGAAAAAAATGAAAAATCAAATGATTTCAGAATCAATAATGTATGCGGAAAAAAAAAACTAAATAATAAAGGTCTTTAAGAACATAGGCAATGGTGTAGAAAGATCGTCTGGGGCCCAAATTTAAATTTTTGTTTGAAGCCCTCAACGTCCTGTGGCCTTTTTATGATAAAATTAGAAATTTCTTACAAATTAACTACGTCTATCACATAAATAGACCACAGTAAAAAAAATTACAGTAAAAGTCATAACCGTTACGGATATTATATGATTACTTAATTTATTACTAACCATTACGGATATTATATGATTAATTAATTTATTTAACTATTATATAATTAATAGTTATCGCTTCAAATTTATGATTTTAACTTTCTTGAAATTTTAAATTTTAAACAATATAATACTTGCTTTTTGGATTTCGCATTGGAAAAATCCTTAACTTTTTTTAATTTTTTAATTTCAACTTTAGCATTTTTATCAATATTTTAAACGCGCTCTTTGTTGTTTTTTAAAATATTTGTTTATTTTATATTACGTAAATGGGCAGAGTTAAAAAACTACTAATACTGTAACAAAATCCAAAAATCTGGACCCCAAATTAGGCTGTATAATGTTGTATATGAGTTCCTTCACTCTGTGCCAGTGGGCACGGCATTTAAAAAAAAAAAATTTAAACAATTTTTATTAGATTTAAACCTTATAAAAACGTCAAAAGAACGTTTAAAAAATGTACCGTGCCCACTGGGGTTGCTTGTTTCTGCAATTATAATGTATTTTTTGGTACAAGCATGAAAGGACGAAACTCAGAAGTTTATCAGACTGAAAGCCTTTTAGCAAACACTGCAACAAATTTAACAGATCTCTTCGTTTTTAGAATGTTTTGAAACATTCTAAAAACGTTGAATGCTATGAAACTACCTTCTGTAGTTTCATAGCATTCAACGTTGGTAAGCTTATCAATAAGTTTTGCAACTTTTTTTCTTTTATTTTGAAATTGTGCATCCACCTTCTATTGAAAAGTAACTTTAGGGGTGTAGGGTATTATAGCTGATGTATACTAAAAAATATTTAAAATGTTTGTGTTTCAAAAGTTCGGAGCCTAGATTCTAGGTTCATCCAACCTGCTGAACCTGCTATTATAGATCACATGTTTATTTAAGCAGTGACTACGGTTGATAATAGAAATGATAAAACTAACGTTTTATGCAATTCAGTGCAAAGTTCGATGAGAAAGAGAGGTTCAACTTGGCATTAACTATGTTTATCTCTAGCATTAACTATGTTTATCATGAACTTTTTTAAAAAGAAAAGGTGAGATTCTATCTATATCTAAATTTAATTCCAGCTTTTTATTTAATTTTACCTTCTACATTTTTTTTGTTATTACTATTATTGTTTATTTCATCATTTATAAACATTTTACAAAGTTCTTGTTTTCAAGTTTCATAATATTTAAATAAAAACTAAGAACGACAGGAGCAATTAAAAGAATCTTGTCATCAAGCCCCTATAGTAAATATTTTTAAAAATATCTTGTCATATAAATTACAAATACTCATTATATAAAACTAGTAAATACATAATTACAATAATATACGATAAATTGCAATAATAAATAATTACATAAAGTAAGAAATATTACAAGTATTTTTTTATTTTTTTTTTAAACTTAAAAATTCTTAAATATTTTTCTGTCTGTTAATTCAAGTAAATACTGTTTAACTATATTTTTAAAACAATTTATTGAGGTTATACGTTTTACATTTTCATTAAAAACTATGTTTTATAGAGGAGGTCCTATATATGAAATTGAGTAATCGGATGTTTTAAGATATAAGTAAGTAAAGGTTATGGATAGAGCACCTCATCAAGTATTTCTGATTAATTTTTAGTAATCGGTTATAAGAAGATTTCGGAAGCATTTCATTTTGATATTTAAACATGAATAACAAGATTTAGAATAGGTTTAACTCACAAACATTAAGATCTTTTATTTCCTGGAGTAACGGCTTGGATCGGCCGTATTTATACACATTACTGGCTTGTTTTTGATAAACATATTTATTTTTCAATGCTGAAGGGCAAGTTCTTGCCCATGCAACTTTACAATAGTTTATGTAGCTATGGATAAAAGAGTGATTCAAATCTATTAAACATACTTTACTTTGTGGGTGTTTTGTTTTATGCATAATACCTATAGTTTTAGAAATATTGTTTTCAATTAGCGTAATATGCTTTTTCCAATTAAGTTGTTCATCAAATATTATTCATAAAACATTAATTGACACAACTTTGTTCACTATATTGTTATTTATAGTTAGCTAAGGAAGTCGCAGAGATAAATCATTGGATTTAGATTGGTGATGAAATAAACTTAATTTTAATGATATTCAAAGAGAGTTTGATTAGAGCCTTGAGGAACTTGTTCCACAGCTTATTGTTCCACAGCTTATTGTTCCACAGCTTATTGTTCCACAGCTTATTGTCCCACAGCTTATTGTTTCTAAATTTGAACATGTTGAATTGTAAGATACTCTTTGTTTTTTATTTAAGGTAACTTTGTAGTGATTTTAAGTTGCGAAATACTATTCCATATTTTTGTGCAGGAGGATCTCACAATCAACAGTATCAAATGCTTTTGACAAGTCAATGAACGAGTCAAGAGTATAAATTTTTTAGCAAACCTGTCCAGAATTTGAATGCTAATTCAGTTAATGCATGATGAGTTAAATGCCCTTTTCGGAAACCAAACTGTTTGCTTAATTAGATTCCAGTGGGCATGTGTTGTCCGGGGGACGTCCATCGGACGTCTTGGACGTTTTAAGGACGACGCGTGCCCATAGGGATGTTTTGTTTATTTAAGATAACTATATAATCTGTTAAGCATAATACGTTCAAACAACTTTGAAAAACAAGAAAGAATAGATATAGACCTGTAGTTAGATGGTACAGAATCATCACCATTTTTGTATACAGGGACTACTCTTGCTAATTGACAAGGAAAAATACCAGTTGTTTTTTAAAGATCAAATAAAGATAATGAATAAAGAATTGAATAAAGATTGAATAAAGAACTTAATAACATCATTCTAAAAACAAATTTTAGAACATTAACATTGATATCATTAAACTCAGCACTTTTATTCAGAGTTGAAAATGCCGCCCGGCGGCAAAGTAACTTTCTGAAGCTGTTGACGGCGGCCTCCCGATCAATTTTTAGCGGCAAAATGTTCTTTCTTCTGCCTCCAGTGGCTTTCGCTTTTCTTTTGGCGGCCGCAGCCGGATTTTTTTTTTGGAGGCAAAATGTTTTCGAGGCCGACGCCAATAGAGTGGCGGAAGCCAATGGTGGCCGCCTCCAGAAGAAATTTTGGAGACAAAGCCATTTGGAGGCCGCCTCCAATGGCTTCTGCCTCCTAACTGGCTGAGCCGGTCAAATTGGAGGTGGAGATATTTGCCTCCCGCCGGCGGATGTGATGAAAAATAGTTGCTTGTTTGCTTTAAAGAAATTAAATATTAACTAAAAACAAATGTTAAATACTTAGTTTTTAATAATGTTAAAAGATGTTGTGTTTTTTAAAATTTGATCGGGAGGCAGCAGTCGTCTGCTGCGGAAGAAAGATGGAGGCAAGAAGATTTACGCCGTTTATCAACACTGCTTTTATTTACTCTAAGTGCATTAAAAGATACATGAAGTTTATTTGCAAGCAGTTCCGACTTTCTGAAAATGAACTAAAATGTTTCATTTATTATTTGCTAGTGTTATTTTTAAAAGATATATTAAAGTTTTCAGCAATTTCTTTCTAACCAAATATTTCTTGGCTTTAATTTATTTGAAATAGCGGTGTTTTTTCGTAATTGTTTTTTCCCTGTAACTTCTCTAATTACTTCCCATGTCTTTCAACTATTTCCTATTGAATGCTCTAAGTGGTTAGAAAAATAACTTTTTTTATTTGCTTTTTTAATCTTTCAAAACAATTTTTGTATTATTCGTATTAAATTTTATTGTTTTATTTATTAAACGTTTTTCATACAACCTGTATTTTTTTCTTAATGATTTTCTAAAACCATTTAGAAAAATTTAAAAAAAAACGTTTAAAAAAAATATTTTGCGGAGGGTCGTCATACTTTTTATGAGTTTTTTTAACAATAAAATTAGGTTGAGCATCTGACACAGTTGAGCAAATGACGAAAAAAAAATTTTTTTCCTGTAATGAGTTGTTTAGGCATTTTTTAAAATCATGAAATAATGCCTAAATTAATAAATAAATAAATAATTATTTATTTATTAATTTAGGCACTTCAGTCACGTGATTTTTTCCGCGCGACAAATTTAGAATAATAACATTAGCAAACTTTTCGGCAACTTTTCCGAAAAATTCGCTAATGTTTATATTTTTATTCTAATTTCAAACACAATTGCCAGTTATATTTCAGTGGAAAATATTAAAAAAATATATTCATATGTGGAGATTATTCTTCAAAGTTTCTTAAATAAGAAGCTAGAAGATTTTTCAAGTCGTTTTCTCTATAGTTTATTTTATTTACACTTTTTGACAAGTACATATACTGTTTTAAATTGCTTTTTTTGGACTCTAGTACATCAAAAAAGATTATTTAGCCTATTAAATTACAATATTTTATACTTGTTTTTATACTAAATTGTTTTTTATATCTGAACATAAAAATTAACAAAAAAACACTTTTTATTATTTTTTTGATATTTTTCTTGACGCCATTATGGTACTCCATTTAACCTACATAGCTAGTTATTTAGGATTAACTAACCTATATTTGGCTGCGTCCTTAAACTAGGCAATATTTAAAAAATCTTTAATGCAGGGTTGTATTGATTGCTTTAAAGTAAAAATATAATATTTAGACTTAAAAACTTATAAATGTGCAGATTAAAGTACTTATTGACTCGTTAACTGCTTTGAGAAACTTTTTTTTAAAATTTGATAAATATTATATTCTGTAAACTCGATGTTTGGTATTTTCAAAGCTTTCCTAAGAACATTCAAATATCTTTTAAATTGCTACTAATATTATGATACAATACTGTTAAAATTGTGTATGCTTTTTTGCTTATTTTGTATAATGTTCAATAGTTTTTTTTTTTTTTTTTTTTGTTATATTTTTCCAAATACAATCTTAGAAGACTTTCTAGTCATTATCCTATGTCTGACAATGATCAGTCTTAATTCTGGCCATGCATGAAATCCATGGCTAGAATTAATAGCTTAAATAAATCAGAATAAATCACTTAAACACACACACATATGTGTGTATATATATATAAATATATATATATATATATATATATATATATATATATATATATATATATATATATATATATATATATATATATGTATATATATATATATATATATATATATATATATATATATATATATATATATATATATATATATATATATATATATATATACACACATATGTGTGTGTGTTTAAGTGATTTATTCTGATTTATTTAAGTTATTAATTCTAGCCATGGATATATATATATATATATATATATATATATATATATATATATATATATATATATATATATATATATATATATATATATATATATATATATATATATATATATATATATATATATATATAGACACACACGCACACGCGCACACACACACTCAGAGAAAGATAATGACCAACTTAAATTTTTATTGATACATGTATATGATAAAATTAACTTGATACATGTATATGATAAAATCATTGAAACATAAACGTTTAATTTAAGACAGTCATAACCATTTTATAATTAAATTTTCATAGTGTTTTTTAATTATGCACAGTCAGTCCTTCTAAGTAATTTTATTATTATTTATAATTTTAATTATTAACAAATTTTAATTATAGTAGATTTATATTATTAATAATTTTAATTAGCACTTTACTTTACAATGAAAAAATAAGACTAAAAAACAGAAAACTCAACGAATTTTTTTTTTTTTTTTTTTTTTTTTTTTTAATTTTATTTAGATGCCCCAAGAAGTCCTTACGGTCTTATCACAGAGCACCGCAGATGAGCATTTAATTGGAAGTTCACGTCTCCTTCCTAACCGATGTCGCGAGACTTGCCCAGAGGTGGGTTTGAACCACGGATCCTTTGTTTCTGAGGCAAGTGCGCTACCACTGCGCCACGGCTGCTCAATTTTAAAAACAGAGAAGCAAACAAAGAAAACACCGTTTGTGGAATGATGAATCAAAGATATCAGCAATTAAAGCTGTTAAAAATGGAGATTCACAGAAAACAACATGTAAAGTTTGTGATATTTTAAGATGACAAGTTTGACTTTCTTGAGTAATGGAAATGGGAGCCAAACCTGAACATCCAACAATATTTGACGAAAAGAAATTAATTGATTATGCATAAAATCGTGCAGCTTTAGGAATCAGATTTGGTCGATTGCAATTTCTAAAATATGCTAAAAATTTCGCTTTTTCGCATAAAAACTATTCAATAATGGAACTCCTACAGAAAAATGGTGGCGTTGGATTTGCAAAAGGCACAAAGATTTAACTTGACGTCAACCAGAAGGTACAGCAGCTATTAGATATCAGTGTATGAATGTTTCTAAAGTGTTGAAATATTTTTCCATTCTTAAAAATGTGTTAACGGAAAACAACCTACTTCAGAAACCGAAAAGCATTTGGAATATGAATGAGACTGGGATGCAGTTTGATTACCGTCCTGGAAAAATAATAGCTAAAAAAAGAGTTAAGTATCACAATATCGTCAACCAGGTAACCAGGAAACAATCAGAGTAATAACTTGTGTCAATGCAATGGGTAACTCTTTTCTACCACATTTCATATTTAAAAGAAAAACTACTAATTCTCTTTCGAGTTTTTATTTTGAAAAAGCCCCAGAAGAATTTGTTTACTCTTACAATATAAAAAAACTCTTTTTTTAACTAAAATTTATGTTGTTGGTTTTTACAGAAATTTCATTGCCTTTGACCCAATTGCCCCAATTTGGTAAGCAAACACTGGGATTCTTACATATATATTGGGTTTTTATAAATGTGTATGAACTTGTTTACTCTGACAATATGAAAAAGTGCTTGTTCTTTAACTAAAGTTAATTTTTATCATTTTTACAGAGCTTTAAATATTTCCGGCCTAATTGCCTCGATTCGGAGATTTAGACCCAAAATTTTTACACATATTTTTGATATTTATAAATGTAAATGAATTATTTACTGTGTCAGTTTGAGAAATCTCTTTTTCTATAACCAAAGTTAATTTTTACGGTTTTAATAAAGCTCTTTGTACTCTTGGCCCAATTTGCCCCAAAATGGAAAAACGGGCTCTGTGTATTTTTAAATTTTTCCTAGTATTTATAAATAAAAATGAATTTGTACGTTCTGAACAGTTTGAGAAAGCTCTTTTTTTAAAAAAAATTAATTTTTATTGTTTGTACAGAGCTTTGATTGTTCTTGGCTCAATTCCCCTGAATGGGAAAAACAAGCCCTAAGATTTTTACATATTTTTTTGATATTTATAAATATAAATGAATTTTTTCACTCTGACAGTTTGAAAAAGCTCTTTTTCTTTAACTTATGTTAATTTTTACGAATTTAACAGAGCATTTTGTACTCTTGGCTCCATTTGCCCCAAAATGGGAAAACGTGCCCCGTGTATTTTTACATTTTTACCTAGTATTTATAAATATAAAGGAATTTATTTATTCAGACAGTTTGAAAGAGCCTTTTTTCTATAATAATATTAATTTTTATTGTTTTTACAGAGCTTTTATTGTTCTTGGACCGTTTGCCCTAAATGGGAAAATTAGCCCGAAGACTTTTACGTATTTGATTAATATTTATAAATGTAAATGAATTTAAAAAAACTCTGTTTCTTAATCTAAAGTTAGTTTTAACTTTTGATCCAATTTCCCCGAATGCGGCAAACAAGCAGTGGAATCCTTACCTAGGGGCTTCTAATATGATAATAACAATTTTTAGAGTTGAATGCTTTGATTCTTTAGTAAAAAAGAAAACCATAAAAATAATTTAGCATAAGTATTTCAATTAAACTCCTTCTCATTGATAGCATTTGAAAAAGAAACTTAATATTAAAATTTGGTGCCATAAATCCTAAGGAAAACTCAACAAATCTTGACGCAAAATAGGTGTTATTAAGCACAACATAATTTGTCATAACTTGCAAACCAGTTATTCAAATTTTAAAAATGAACTCATTCTGAAAACGTCTTTATTATCCGCACACTTTAGTATCAATTATAACAAGAGATAATGATAATATTGAAATCGTGTAATGTGCTTAATTAATTCAAACTTTTTTAGCTTAAAAATCATTTTTAGTCAGAAATATTTAATATAAAAAAAAATAATATAAAAAATATAATTTATTTTATGGAAATAAAAAATATCTAATAGCGTAAATAACAGTGTAATTACCGCACAACGACACAACCAGTGCCGCGGAGAGGTGGGGAGGAGGGGACAGACAGTTTGTCCCGGGCGGCAGATACCCAAGGGGCGGCGGTCCTGGATACAACCGCATATCTTAGATTTTTGTTTGTTGAAAGGTACAATCATTGTCAAAATTTTAATTATTTTTAAGCTTAATTTAATTTTAGAAGAACGTTCTAATTTCGATAAATATCCAAGTCTTATTGACAGTTTGGGAACACTATACGATTATTACTCAATAATGCATTATGGAGAAAATGCTTTTGGTGGAGGTCAAAGAACTATGACGACAAAAGATCCCGCAATGCAAAAGGTGATTGGTACAGCTAAAGGATTCAGTGCGATTGACATTAAACAAATTAATTTAATGTATAGCTGCCCAGGTTAGTTATAAGTGATTATTTTTTTAATTAATTATAGTTGCTTAAGCAACTAAGATCTAAGCGCTTAGATTAGAAGTATATACATTAGCTAAAATAAACAAATGATTGATTAGTTATACTTGTTTTATAATTATTATAGTTATAACTACGATAAATAAAAATAATATTAATATAAGAAAAAATAATGTTAGCATAAGAAAAAAAATAGGTTGTTGAAACAGTTAATAAACAAAATTTTATTCAAAAACAAACTTCTGTTCGTTACTTGCATAAAATATGGATTATTTTTAAAAAGAAATGCAATATATTTTGATAGAAAAAAATATGGCAACTGGATGCTAAAAACAAAGAAAGTTGACCACCATCGGATCCGTTTTTGAAGATAAATAATTTTTAGAAATAACTTTAAAGATAACATTAAAATTTATAATCAATAATTAAATTTTATATGCATGTTTTATTTTTATTTTATTTTTATTTTGAACATTTTATTTTGCCGTTGAATAAATGTTACAACCTACATATATTTACATATAAAATTAATAGCAGTGTTACAATATATATTTTTTACAAATTTTTTTCCAAGAGTATAAAGTATAAACTAAGAAATACGATTAATGTTGACAAAAATATTAACATTAAAGAAAGCCTTTATTAATTGGTTATACGGTAAATAAATTAGAATTAAAACAAAAAACAAACAAACAATCAAACAAAAACAAAACAAAAAAAAGAACTAAAAAACATATTTTAAAAGAAAAATGGGTTTAATGGTAATGATTAATATTAGTAATTATTTAATTTAGTTTTTAAATTTAAAGGGTTTTTAAATATAAGATTAGCTTAAGTTAATTAGGTTCCGTATGTTGAGCATGTTAACAGTGTAATGTTTTTTTGCAGCCGAAATATTATATTCTCAACCATTAAAAAAACAAAAAATTTTTCCTATCTCTGAAAAAGTTAACAATACTATTTTTTGGAAAAATTTTTGCACTTGAAATACCAAAATAAAGCTCCACCGCATCTCATCTTGAGCGTTTAAAAGCGTATATCTTAAGCAACTTCACCAAATGCTATCATAATTTAAATAGCATGACAACACCTTACGTAACCATATAATTCTCATATAACCCATGAAATTAGCAGTAGATAAGCATAAAATATTGATGTAATAATACTTTTGATTATCTTGTTTCATTCTGACGTAATTACAAAATATTGAATAATTAAAAATTATAACGGGGATGGTAAATTTTTTTTAACAGTAAAACAATCAAAGAATATTAACTATGCAACCTAGAAATTAAAATAAATAACACCGTCGAACTTGTATGAATATCCTTAACTAAAAAATTGACGAAAAAATCGTTAGTCTAACCGTAAAAGAGGTTGTACCATCTTAGGAACCTCCTTATCTTACGCAACCTTCCCCTACATTGCATTTTAGTTAATGCAGTGTTTTAGATGGTTTATTGTATTGATCTATTTTAAAAGAAACAATTAAATCAAAATTAATCAAATTCAGTGAGTAATAAACATTGCTTTAATTTAATTTTAAACCGATTAAATGAAATATTTTTCTTGGCAACTATGTTTGGAAAACTTTTCCACAAAAATGGCGATTCTGAATTGAATAAGAACTAAATTTTGAATAAATTTGCGGTGTAACAAAGTTGTTGATTAAAAATCTTGTAGCATAACAAGTCTTGTAGCATACACAAATCTTGTAGCATACACAAATCTTGTAGCATACACAAGTCTTGTAGCATACACAAATCTTGTAACATACACAAATCTTGAAGCATACACAGGTCAGAAATTGACCTTTTAGGTTTAATTTTGCAACACCCCAAATATTTTTATAGATTCTATTTAAGAAACCATTAGGTTTCACAAAACTGTAAAAATTAAAATCCTGCAGGTGGCACATTTTAAAAAAAGATATTTAAAGTGGCGACCTCTGAAATTACCACGTTTACGCGAAGAATCTTCCATAAATGCTGCAAACTTTAATTTTTTACATACTCATATTAAATAATGATGTTCTTCCAAAAATATATATATATATATATATATTTCGACAACATAGTACAATCTTTTCGCTTTCGGGGCGAAAAAATGGTAAAAAAAGTTTTTTTTTTGAAAAATATTTTTGTACAATCTTATAGTAAATGAAATTTAATTCATAGAGTTCAAATTTTAAAAAACTATGTATTACAGTTCAAAAGTTATGATCAAAAAGCGTTTTTTTCCCTTTACCCCTTTCAAAAAATGACGAGATTTTAAAATTTATATGACCATAACTTCTAAAGTACATAAGATTTTTTTAAAGAAACTTAAAATTTTATAAATAATTTTGACTTGGTTTAAGAAATTACAAAAATAAATTTTAAATGCACATGTCCCTCTCTCAATCAGGGCAGGCGGCCTCAAATTTGGGGTTTTCTTGTTCTGAGACTTTAATCACAATTATTTTTTAGATACATCTGTCTTTTTATAACCATATGATACCATGTGATTAAATGACTTTGTATACAAAAGATTTTAGCCTTCAAATCTGAACATCATAGGCCCCTTTTTTTTGTTAATAAACATTTTTTGTTTAGATTCACTGTTTTGGATACATTTGCCTTTTTGACACTTGTATTTTTATACAAAAGCTATATAGTTTATGGTATAAAATCAGCTTAACTTCATTAATTACAAGTATTAGTTGTTTATAGTTATTTAAAGTTAATGCCGATTAATGGAATTAAACAAAGTTTGCAATTTGTATTTAAAATTATTTAATTAAAGTTTTTTTATAAATTTACTTTTGATACTTTAGTAACTATTTAATTTACAGGTATAGTTCATTATGTCTTAATTAATATCGAAGAAAGGAAGGACATTTAAGTTTTAAAGATCTCAAAGGTTGAACAGACTTTTAATTTACTTGCTTTACTAAAAATACTGAGTGTATTCCAGTTACAGAAAGTTTGGAAAAGCTTGTTGTAAAGCATTGCCATGATGACTATAATATTAAGGATATGAAGTATCCAGCTGGATTTTGCAGTTCTTGGATAAAACAAAATGTAGACTGTATCAAAAAAAAATTTAAAACTCATTTTGATGAAATATACCATAAACGTGCACAGGTCAGATATTGACCTTTTAAGTTTGATTTTGGAACACCCCAAATATTTTTATAGATCCTATTTAAGAAACCTTCAGGTTACACAAAACTGTAAAAATTTACGTCTAAGTAAAAGCGGTTCAGTAGAAACAGCTTTACCAGCTCCAAATACAATTCTAGCAGCATGTTTTTTCCTGTTGCACAGTTTTTTTAACAGTTTGCTTGGTTTGTGGAAAAGAGAAAATTTTGTTTTTTGAACATTCAAAGACAATTTGTTGCATATAAACCATTCATTTACTTTATTTTCTTCATTGATTACTTTGATTAGCGTCTCAATATTTTCTTCATTGGTTACTTTGATTAGCGTCTCAATATTTTCTTCATTGATTACTTTGATTAGCGTCTCAATATTTTCTTCATTGATTACTTTGATTAGCGTCTCAATATTTTCTTCATTGATTACTTTGATTAGCGTCTCAATATTTTCTTCATTGATTACTTTGATCAGCGTCTCAATATTTTCTTCATTGATTACTTTGATTAGCGTCTCAATATTTTCTTCATTGATTACTTTGATCAGCGTCTCAATATTTTCTTCATTGATTACTTTGATCAGCGTCTCAATATTTTCTTCATTGATTACTTTGATCAGCGTCTCAATATTTTCTTCGTTGATTACTTTGATCAGCGTCTCAATATTTTCTTCATTGATTACTTTGATCAGCGTCTCAATATTTTCTTCATTGATTACTTTGATTAGCGTCTCAATATTTTCTTCATTGATTACTTTGATTAGCGTCTCAATATTTTCTTCATTGATTACTTTGATCAGCGTCTTAATATTTTCTTCATTGATTACTTTGATCAGCGTCTCAATATTTTTATGAGAATAAAAAAGATGAGAGTCATCTGCAAATAAAATAAAATTTAATAGGTTTGATGTTGACTTAATTTGAGGTTTGATTTTAAAGATGATTATTGTGTAGTAAGAAAAGTGAAAGTTCTAATTTTTTTCTTATCCTAATATATAAAGTATATATAGCATAAAAAATATAGGATCCTGTGAAATTTTACAAGTTAAAACGTTTATGGGTGTTTCTATACTATCACATTGTACGAATTGTTTTCTGTTCGACAAGTAATTTTCAAACCAGTTTATGTTTTAATCTTTTATTACGTAATGTTCCTTTCTTTAATTAGAATGGAATGATTTACGGTGTCAAAAGCTTTGATAGGTCAATGAAAATTGTTCTGTTCAATGCTTTTGACACCGTAAATCATTTTATTTTCCCACCATATAAGAGTTAAATTATGTTAGGTTACAAACTCCTAAAATTAAGTTACAATCTCCTAAAATAAGGAGGTGGTTAACTTGATATAACTGTAAGGTTAACACTTTTAAATAAAATTTAACCTTTTTTGTTAAATTTTCATCTTTTTGATTTGCAGAAGCTGGATAAAAAAAAATCTTTTTATATTTATAAAAGCTGGGAGAAAGCAAGTTTTGCTTCATAAATTAAAAATTTGCAAAACTTATTTCAAAATTATATAAATTGACCAAACTTTTTCTGTAAGTTACTTCAACAACCAAATAACAGATTTATGTTATTGCATGGGTAAATAAGGAACCAAATAGTCATTATAAAAAATTAAGTAAAATGTGTAGTTTTTTGTTTCTTTGAATCAATAAATTTATTTAAACAGACTTTTTTTTTTAGGTTATTAATATAAACAATGCAAGAGAAATGAACATCAAGATTTCAATGATGGAAACAAAATGAAAGAAATATGTAAAATTTAATAATTAACTTTATTAAAAAGATTATACATTTCGTTTTTAATATCCAGCCGGTATCTTTACGTTTTTTCAATGTCGATATTTACTTAAAGCTTTTTTTCAACATTGACCAAATTTCAACGTTTAAAAAAGCAACTTAATCGCTGTTGAGTAAACGTTTAATAAACATTGATTTTACGTTAACAAAGTAATTCAATTTTGAGCACAAACTAAAACCAGTTAATGAGCAAATAGTTACTGATATAATACTTTAGTATAATTTTTAACACGATTGAGATGTGTGAAAACCGAAAGGTTCATTAAATTCAAATTTAAAGCGAAATTTTAGGCAACCTATATATGAATATTGAGCGGTCCGCTATAGTTTTGCTTCACGGTTACTTAGCCAACCATTAGTGGCAGACACTAAAAGTCAATAACTAACCAGTGTATCACATGTTGTTGCCACTAACGGTCCAATTGAACTAATGCGTAATTAACCAAATTTGATAAAAAAAAAAAAAACTTAAATAAAAACAAAGGGAGAGTGCAATTATAATCATAAGTTTGTGTTGCTGGAGGCCGCTTCTATGGTAAAATCGTGACATGAGATCTATACAAAGTGAAATAGTAATACAACTAAAAGTAATACAACATTTTTTTAGCGGTGCGTCACCTTTAACTAAAAAAAAATGATTATAAAGTAATAAAGAAATACAATAAATATCTAAAATAAAATCATAAAAAAGCGCACACACAAATACGACTTACTAATAAGTTACAACTAGTTGATAGACCATTCTCCCCAGCGGGCACAGATGTCCATGAGACGTCTATAAGACGTCTTACGGACGTCACGAATCCTTAAGACGTCCTTAAGACGTCCATCGGACGTTCTGTGCCCACTGGGTTGACATAACGAAAAATATTCAATGTAAATAAAGGTTTAGCTGTATTTTTACAAAATAAACAAACTTTTGCTAAAAAAGCACTAAGTAATATTTATTTCAACAAAACATTGTCATTCGAAATTGTGCATTTCTCTTTTTAAAAGAGACAAGTTGATGAACTGAATATCCATGCATGCATTTTATTATTGCTTCACAATTTTCAAGTACCATAAAATTTGAAACATACTTCAAAACGGCAAGTAATATCATGACATAACTAAATTTAAATATAAGTGAGTTGTGTAATGCTTTTTTAACTCTGAAAAATAACAAAAGTGCATAGATAAAATTAGCTTCGATGTATCAGTATATGTATCAGATAATCAGTATAATGTATCAGATATGTATCAGATATCAGTATAATGTATCAGATAATCAGTAATTAAATCCATATTGTTTTACATTTTTAATCTCTCATTAACGTCTGGTATTGTACCAGATAAATTTAAAATAGCCAAAATCACACCGATTTTTAAGTCTGATGAAAAAACAAATGTTTCAAAGTACAGACCTATCTCTTATCTTCTTTCTCTAAATTGCTAGAACGCATTATGTACAATAGGCTTTATAATAATTTAATATCAAATAATTTTCTGTACAACAAACAATTTGGGTTTAAAAAAAAAACATTATACGGATCACGCGATAATTAAACTTGTAAACCATATATTGGATGCATTTAATAAAGATTGTTTTACCTTAAATATATACCTTGTATTGTTTGTTGTAAATTCAAATCTGTTTTTTTCACACAAAAATATAAAAATTCTTTTTAAAATTTTCAATGAAGAATTATCTAAAGTAAATAAATGGGTAATAAGTAACCGCCTAATACTAAATGTAGATAAAACCAAATTCTGTCCACTGTTCATTCTGCTCTAAAAATCAAATAAAGTTGATAATATTCCTCTTAAACTGCCAAATCTTTTATTCAATATAACAGATGCAAAAAGGGAATCTACTGTCAACTTTTTAGAAACCATTCTTGATGAAAACTTGTCATGGATGTTTTACAACCATTCCATTTCAAGAAAAATCCCTTATAATATTTCCGTACTTTATAAAACAAAACGTTTTTTAAATACAAGAGCTCTAATGAAAATTTATTTTTTATTTTTGAGCAGCCATAACGCAGTGGTTAGAGTTCTGGCTCAGAACCCAGAGGTCCAAGGTTCGACGCCAGCTCTAGTCCAATAAGCGACATTGGTAAGGTAGGAGGCGTGAACTTCTAGTTAAATGCTCTCCCGCGATGTTCCGTGATAAATCCGTAAGGACTTCTGGGATCACCTAACTAACCTTAAAAAAAAAATTATTCACAGCTATCTTTCTTACTGCAAAATTGCATGGGAAAGTATGAATTACGGAAAACTCAAATTTTATAAAAACGTTATAGTAAACAGAAGCATGCTTGCAGGATAGGATTTGGGGCAAACAGAACTGTGTATTGTGAACCACTATTAAATCGTCTCAAGGTCTTAAATATTTACAAACTAAAAATTTACCAAATATTACTTTTCATGAGTAAAATGACACATGGAATACCTCCACTTATATTTCAATCACTTTAGTGAAATATATTTAAAAGTAAAATATTTTTACTTTTAAATTAATATAAAAGTCATTTTAATATTTGACAAAAGTTATGTATTTTTAACGTTTTATTAAAAATTTTTGTCAATGTCTTCTCCTTCCTCCGAACAATATTTATTGTAAATATAATTTTCGTGGTCATAGCCAAAAGTTAACAAAAGCATACTGTAAGAACAATGCTAGATTTAATTTTTTCTTAAATAAAGTTGTTGATGCTTTATGGTTTATCACCTCGTGTCAAGTTGGCTGAGGTTAAATTCCATTGCTTAATATTATGAAATTTAAGTACATTTAGTAAGTAATAAATAAATATATATATATATATATATATATATATATATATATATATATATATATATATATATATATATATATATATATATATATATATATATATATATACATATATATATATATATATATATATATATATATATATATATACATATATATATATACATATATATATATATATATACATATATATATACATATATATATATATATATATGTATGTATGTATGTATATATGTATATATATATATATATATATATATATATATATATATATATATATATTTATATTTATATTTATATATATATATTTATATTTATATACATACAGATGTAGTTGCACGGATGTTATTATACATCAATGAAATTTGGGATGTTCTTGCACGGATGTTATTATACATCGATAAAATTTCGGATGTTGTTTCACGGATGTTATTATACATGGCAAAAACGGATGTTATTGCCCTGACCCACTTGTTGCTCTCACATTTGGGGCAAAAAGGGGCAAAGAATTTTGGGTTACTTGTTCGCATTCTTTTATCACAGTAATTTTTTTTTGTGAAGAATCTTTTCATCATACATATGAATGTAAAAAATTACGAATGTTTAAAAGTTGGTTATTTCAAACATCTTATTTGTTCAAGGTCCTTAAATTTTTTAAATCTAACTATGACAATTTATCACATTAATGGCTGTTATAGCATTTTAGTATGCTCTGCAAAAATGTATATATTGTTGTTACTGCAAATATATATTATCATTATTAGGGCCGTCCCGAGGAAGGAGGCGTGCAATTTGCCGACAAATTATATTAGTCGGGAAATTGGACACTAGAGTCGGCAAAATTAAATTTATAGTTGGCAGTCGGCAAATGTCGGAAAACAAGGACACTTTTTTGTTTTATTTTTTTATTATTTAGGTAAGATAGTGGGCAAAAAAAATATTTTTGGGTTTTGTCGGCAAAGAACAGTCACGGCACCCCTCATATATATATATACATACATATTTATATATATACAGGGCCGTCCCGAAGAAATTTTAAAGGAAGGGGGGTGCCGTGACTGTTTTTTGCCGACAAAAGCCAAAAAAGATTTTTATATATATATATATATATATATATATATTCACACAAAAAAAACTACTTTATTATTTAAATTAGTTTTCAGATTTTTATATGATCTTGTTAGTAAAATTGATAATCCAAATTAGTTTTATTTAATGAAAAAAAATTATTTATGCTCTAAATAAAATCAAAACTTATATTAAAAAATCTTAGTTTTTAGAGTTTAGTTAATTGATAAAACTAAATCTAAAATCAAATATGGTCAACTTTTTCCAACTTTTTTTTTTCATTTTAGTTTTCCATTTATCTAAGCACCAGCCAAATTTCAAAGAAAATTTTTTTGTTGCAGGCACTTAATTTTTACTCGCACTTTTTATTCTTAATTTTTATTTTTCCCAATCTCGTTTTTTCGAGACATTTTTAAATAACTTAAATAATGTATTATTTCATCATATCTAATTTAAAATATAGACGTTTTTTTATTTCAATATAAAGTTAATAAACTATTTTTAACGTTTCATGAACATTCGCTCCATGAGACAATGTTTATCTTGTTAACAATTTTATACTCTTGTATCAGAACTCTCCTAATTCGACGTGTTTCTAAAGAAGTTAAACTTTGCAGACTCAAGCGATCTTTGTATAACAGTCGATGGTATAAAGGTATTATACTATAAAGGTATTAACAGGTTGCTCGTCTTTTTACTTTCTCAATTTTAACAATGTCTATTCTTCACGATGAATTGCTGGCTGCTACCGTGAATATAAGGTGAGAGCGTACAAATATTGGGTATAGAACTTTAAGAAGTTGTGGAGTCATGTGATTGAATGTAAAATACAACATGCCAGGAACACGGTTAGCTTTATTAATTTCATAGGCTGAATTATAATGCCATTTCAAATCTGTCGTTATCATGACTACCAGATCACGTTCGACTAAAGTTGATGCAAACGTTAATTTGACAAATCATATTGCATTTTATATGCCAGATTTTACGCCATTCTAGTCTAAATGGGCCAGCAGTTCTGTGTCATCCGCATACATTTTATACGGGTGAATAACAATACACGGTTAAATAACAATATCTCATTTACAAAAATGATGAAGAGAAATGGACCTAAGACAAATCGTAGAGCAAAACTACAAACCT